CATTTTTAAGTATTTTGTGTGTAGGGGCGGGGGGCACCATGGTGCGTGGGTGGAACTCAGAGCATAACTCTGGCTCTCACTCTCCGTCATGTGGGTCAGATGTTGAACCAGTCTCTTCCTTTTAAAAAAAATCTTGATTTAATTTGTTGACTATGTAAGTCATGAGGTTTCGGAATGAAAACTATGTAACTGTATATTGAAGATGTCTTATTTCTACCCACAAATTCTCCAAGTTTTTACAAACTACATTTTATCCATTTCTTGCTTGTTTTCCATTGGTTTCTTGTTGTTAGTATAAGCAAATGCATTTAATTGTATCCTTCCATTTTTATTACCCAAGAGGTTGCCCAGTACACACTGCAATATTCTTTCCCCTGCTTATCCTGGAGGTTTCATTGTTACAGCTTATAGAGTTTTCTATTCTCTTATTATGCTGCACTGTGTCGTTTTGAAAGATGCATCATAATTCATTTTACTGGTCCTCCATCAAGATGCACATTTGATTTGTCTTCCCATTTTTTTCCAATCCCTAATCACGCTCCAATGGATAATCTTGCACATAGTCATTTCATGTTTTTGTTAGTAGCTTTCCAAATGCTGGGCCAAAAGGTAAACAAATACGTACGTAATTTTTCTTAACGTTCCCAAATTTCCCTCCATAGGCATCACGCTGTTTTGTGTTTCCATCAGCAATGCTTGAGAGCACTGGCTTCTCCACAGGCCCATCAGCATGGTGTATATTCAAACTTGGATTTCTGCCAGTCTGATAGATGATAAATCTCTCAGTTCAACTTTAATGTACATTTCCTTTTTTTAAAAAATGCATTGCTTTTTCTGTGCATAAAGGCCATTTTAATTTCTGAGTTATAAACATACAGGGCTAACACACATTTACTGTATGGCTAATTTTTCTCTCTGGATCTTTTTCTTAAAGAGATCTCTAAAGGACGGATATATTTGCTTATTTTTAAGGAAATAAGTTACAAGTGCCTCCTGCCCCACTTGTCATTTATCTTTTGGTTGCTTGTAGTTTTCTGAAGGCTATATACTTTTTTTTTTAGAGCTATTCATTCCAACTTATCAATCTGGATTTCATGTAGTCAGTCTGGAAACAGAAAGTGAGGCCTCTATTCTGTGTTTTACAGATGTCTCTTCTTACTTTCAGCTTGATGTCTTCTTCTTCTCCTCCTCCTCCTCCTTCTTTTCTTCTTCCTCCTCCTCCTCCTCTTCCTCCTTCTTTCTTTTTCATTTTGTTTTTTTTTTTTTTGAGACAGGGTTTCTCTGTGGCTTTGGAGGCTGTTCTGGAACTAGCTCTTGTAGACCAGGCTGGCCCCTAACTCACAGACATCTGCCTGCCTCTGTCTCCCAAGTGCTGGGATCAAAGGCATGCGCCACCACCGCCCAGCTTCTTCTTAATTTCTTGAGACAGGGTTTCTCCATGTAGCTCTGCCTGTCCTGGGGCTGGCCTAGAACTCACAGAGATCAGCCTGCCTCCTCCTCCTGAGTGCTGGGATTAAAGGCAGGAGCCACCCCTCCTAGCTATGTTTTTTTTTCATAAGCAGTTCCTAATTTAATATACTCAAACCAACTAGTATTTTCCCTTTTGGGGACCAAATCTAAGAAAATAGTCTGCTTTGAGGCCACTGAGATACTGGACTGCTTTATCTTCAGCCATCTGAGGACTGCTCCTTGTCATTCAAGGACCTGTGTGAGTTTGCCGACTGGTATTTGCCAGTCCCTGTAGGTGGTGCTGCTGTGGCATGGCAGGGTGACACTCATGGTTTGGGTTCTGTTAGCGTTATGGGGAGAGTCACAGTGACTGGAACTGCATAGCTGTCACGTGCAGTGGGGTGAAACCTAAGTGCATGAACATTTACACAGTCTTAAAAAGCCAACTCTTTGCCGAGGATGTGACACAATTTAGTAAGCTTCCCTGCTTTGTTTTTCCAAATTACAGCTTTATTCCCCCCTGAAATTTATTTCATTTTTGGAGAACAGTGTAATGTAGGAAAAGTTTCTTTTATTTATTTATGGATGTGTGGTGTGCATATGTGTCTGTGTGGATGTGTGCATCAGTGTGTTTGAGGGCCCATATGGAGGTCAGAAGTAAACATCAGGTGACTACATCACTTGACTTCCTCAGTCTCCCTCCATCTTAGCTTTTGAGACAGGGTCTCTCACTGCATCTGGAGCTCACTGATTATGCTAGGTTGGCTGCCCAGTGAACTCCAGCGATTTCCCTGTCTTGTCTTCTTCAGCACTGGGATTACAGACATGCACTCTTACATCTGGCTTTGTTTGTTTGTTTTCTTTTTTGTTTTTCGGGACAGGGTTTCTCTGTGTAGCTTTGGAGGCTGTCCTGGAACTCGCTCTGTAGACCAGGCTGGCCTCAAACTCACAGAGATCCGCCTGCCTCTGCCTTCCGAGTGCTGGGATTAAAGGCATGCGCCACCAAAGCCCGGTTTACATCTGGCTTTTGATGTGGGCTCTGAGGATCTAAATTCAGGTTCTCATGCCTGCATAGCAAGCGCTTTACTGATATGTCCCCAGCATCTTCCCTGAACTTCTAATTCAGGAAAGACTTTTCCTCATTGCTCACCAGTGCCCTGTTTATCACAGAGTAAGCGACTATGGATGGACAGGGCTGCCCCTGCACTTCTGTGATACAGTCACACAATTCCATAACTTTAAAACAAATCTTGATATTTGGAAAGGAATTTCTTTAACTCTATTATTTTCCAGCAATATCTTATGTTTTGGGTCCCTATATTCCCTTAGAAAATTTAGAATGATCACACACACACACACACACACACACACACACACACACACTATATTCAGACTTCGACTAGAATTGCATCTAAACTATAGGAGTGTCTAATTCTTCTGTTTGGGAATAGTGTGTACCCAAATCTTATACATATCCCTTTGTATCTATTCCTAACCATTGAGTTATTCAGGCAAACGGTTTTTAAAGATTTACTTTAATTTTTAAGTTTTGTGCATATGTATAAACATAATGTATGTTTCACCATGGTAAATATTTAAAAGATAAGTTACCATGGGTCAAAAAGTACTAAATGACTATGATTTAATATACTGAAAGGTGTGCATAATTGCTATGCAGACACCATAGAATTTAAATCATATTGTCTGATCATCTGTTTCTACAAGGATAACAATATTAAATTTCGTGTGTTAAGCTACAATCTCAAAATTTCTATTTTGCCTCTTATTTTTCTGAGAAGATAACCAACTAACTTAGGACTATGACTTCTGTTTGTCTTCCTTTGTCCACACTAGCCTGGAACTCACTTTATAGGCTAGGCTGGCCTTGAATTCGTTGTGATCCAAGAGGAGTATTAGCTGACATCTGTCTTAGCCTGGATTCCCTAGCTTGATTTCTCATTGAGGAGCAACATCCAAAAGTCTGTCTTCTCTTTCCCACCTAAGAAATGATCTAGAGGTGCTTCTTGGTGGTAGAGGACGGTACCTAGGATGCTGGAGGTCCTGGGTTTTCCAGCGCTGGATAGAAAATGTCATCTATACTCCTTTAAATAATGCCCCCAAAACTAATCTGTATACTCAGTAGATTTGCGTGGAATCACATCTTTCTTCATGTCTCTACAGAAAAAGCAACACAAACATTCTAAGAAATGATCCTTGTGTTTCATTCAGTAACACTTCTTGTGGTGTTTTGATTGATTATTTTTTAAGCGCCTTGAGTTTTCCCCTATTTTCAGTTTGACACTGGTTTCCCCTTTAGTCTTGGAGTATTTTTTTTTGTTCAGTTCTACCCATTTTGTTGTTGTTTGTTTCAAATAAGGTGTCTGCAAAGCCTACAGGCTGAACATGTCACTCTGTGTTTAATTTTGTTTAATTATTTATTTTAGTTCCTGTGGTCTAAGAATGGTTTCTGCTTTTTAAAAATAGTTGAGGAAAGGCAGAGGCAGGTGCATCTCTGTGTGTTTGAGGCCAGCCTGGTCTACACAGTGAGTTCCAGGGCAGCCAGGACTGTTACACAGAGAACCCCTTGTCTTTTCTTCTTCTTCTTTTTTATTAATTTATTTTTTACGTTACAATCCCAGTTCCCCCTCTCTCCTTTTCCCACTCCCTCCACTACTCCCCTCCTCCCATCTGCTTCATGGAGAGAGTAAGGCCTCCCCTAGGAAGTCTATTAAGTCTGTCCCATCATCTAGTTGAGGCTGGACCAAGGCACCTCTCAGCCCCCACACTCTTGTGTCTAGGCTGGGCAAAGTATCTCTCCATATAGAATGGGCTCCATTAAGGCAGTTTGTGCATTAGTGTTAGATCTTGGACCCACTGCCAGTGCCTCATATATTGTCCCAGCCACACCATTGTCACCTATATTAAGAGAATCTAGTTCGATCTTATGCAGGTTCCTCATTTGTCAGACCAGAGTCGGTGATCCCTCATTAGCTCAGGTTGGCTGATTCTGTGGGTTTCCCTATCATGGTTTTGACTCCTTTGTTCATATTTTTGTTCCTCCCTCACTTCCATTGTATTTCAGGAGCTTAGCCCTTTGGTTAGTTATGGATTTCTGCATCTGCTTCCATCTGTATCTGGAAGATGGTTTAAGCTTCTCTGGGGTTATGGATTACAGTCTGGGTATCCTTTGCTTTATGTCTGGTGTCCACTTACGTGTGAGTACATATTATATTTGTCTTTCTGGAAACCCTGTCTTGAAACACCAACCCCATATCAATTTTCAGTGTTCATTACTAGTTTTTTTTTCAGATTTCATTTATATATTTACTTATGTACACTCATATATGTGTATATATATGTAACAATAATAAATAAAAAGAGGTCATGAATTTGAAAGTAAGCAGGAGACAGGGGGTGGATTAAGGGAGGAGAGAAAGCAGTAAATGATATAATTATATTTTGATTAAAAATACATTAATAAAAAGTGACTGTGTCTATATGGTATGTAGATCTGAATGAATATTTTTAAAAAATGTTGACCCACATTTTAGTTAATTTTATTTTTTATATTTTATTTAAATAACATTTTTTCATTTATTGTACATACCAACCAGTTTCCCCTCCCTGTCCTCCTACCGTCCTCTTCCCTTTCCTATCTGCCTTCCTCACCATCCACCTCTCCTCCATCCCCATTCAGAAAAGAACAGGCTTCCCATGGGCTTCCACAAAGCATGGCACATCAAGTTGAGTCAGGGCAGAGCTCCTCCCCTTGTGTCGAGATGGGACCAAGTATTTAATCAAGGAAGGTTCTCATGTAGCCCAGGTTCTCCTTGACCTTACTATGTAACTAAGAATGACTTTGAACTTCTGCCCTCCTGAGTGTTGGAATTACAAGCATGTGCCACTGTGCCTTGCTTATATGGGCCCAGGGCTTCATGCATACTAAGCAAACACGCCATCAACTGAGTTGCATCTCTATTACAAGGTAGATTCTTTTAAATTTGATTTTCCGGAGACCCTAAATTGAATAAAACTTCACTGATGAAACTCATGGCATGGCTGGTAGACATTGGCTTCTAGTGATATAGCTTTAGCAAATGTAGCTTAAAAACATGACAATCTGATTTCCAATTACTTCATCAGATGGGTGGAGAATATTGCTACCACAAGCAATGGTCATGTCCCAGGCATCAATGATACCCACATGAAGGTCTTTGAAAATATCCTTCATGGTTAGATACTGAATATAACCATGGAAGTCTCCGAATTTCTCTGTATCTAGGTACATCTCCCTGATATTCTCTGCCTTAATGATGACTTTAGTGTCAGGGCCTCTGAGGAAGAGTCGTTCAATAGCCTTTTGGATGCTGATGACTCTACGAATGAAAAGTTCCATGGGGAAGGGTCTGAAGTGCTGGCCTAAGGTGATGACAATGACAGTATCTTTGTCACCTGGTAAGCGGTCAATTTCCTGGGGAATATAACCATCATCTATCACAGAGTAGAGCTGGACCGTGATGAAAGGATGACTGTGTTTTTTCCATTCAACCAGAGTGTGCCTGTCAGCATCCAGAAGCACGTGTTTCTTATATAGTCCAGTCCCGTGAAGATCAAAAGGCTTCAACGCTGACAAGAAAACAGAGAGAATCTTTAAACTCTCTTTAAGGTAATGATGAATAAATGTTAAAAGGAAGAGCAATATTTATGAGAGGGAGATTAAAATATATATTTAAAGATGCAAACCTAGAAGGTAAAATAAAATAAAAACCAAAGCAGCCCTGGCAGAGGAGGGAGCCCACACTCAAAGCACTGTGAGGTCAGCTTGGATTTCTGAAGGAATATGAAAATAATGACGTACTTTTTGCAACTTTGGGAAAGTAGTTGATCCATTGGCGAAGCGTCGAGTCTCCCAGGAGGTAAATGAGTTTTCCTTTCAAACAGTCATTTATCTGACTCGAGTTTAACAGACTCTGCTTGCACTGGGCTGTTATCCACCTTCCTCGGAAGGTGTAACCGCTAGGTGTGGGAATCTCCGTTCCAATCTGACATTTCTCTGTCCTGTTTTCTTCACTCTCTGGTAACAGATATTTGTGGAAAAATGATTTTGATGGCATGAGTCAAGCACCCAGTTCCTCTTCCCCTTTCTTTATTTTTTTCTTCTTCTAATGACTTAAGCATTTCCCCTGTTACTTTATTTTTGACTGCTAGTATGTTTTAGGCACCCCAACTCATCTCTCTTTCTCTCTTTTTCTCTTTTTCAGGCAGGGCCTCACTATGTAGCCCTGGCTGGCCTGGAACTCACTATGTAGACCAGGCTGGCTTTGAACTCACAGGTCTGCCTGTCTCTGCTCCTGAGTGCTGGGATTAAAGTAGTACACCACCATACCAGGCTCCTTTTTTTTTTTTGTAATAATAAAAAATGTGCAAAACTATTTATTCTTATAAACAGTGAAAAACTACTGTGATATGAAAATTCTTTTCATTCCCCTACTCAATCTTTTGAGAAATTCTGGGTCATCTCAACTCATCTCTATTGATTTTCTCCTAAATCTAGTCATTAGTTCAGGGTAATTTTTTTTTTCCTTTCTTTGCCATTCCCATTGGTTCTTTGATGACAAAGTCTTTTCTCTAAACCTGAGTAATGTGACAGTAGCCTGCCAGTTGATATCCTCATCAGCAAATCTTCCCATTACCTCTGTTTCATTAATGAAAGAATAATGCTATTTATTCTTATTATTAATAAGGCTTGATGCTCAATATTTAACATCTGAATGTTTTAGGACGAAATGCCCATTTTGACAGTGTCTCAGTAGGACTTTGCTGAAAGTGGCAAGTTGTATCTCATATGGACTAATAACAATATAAGCTGCTTTCTCAAGTTCCACTTACATGATAGCCATGTCGTGGTCTGCCTTGCTAGACATCCTGGAGGCGGGACATTTTGTGTTTTATCATAGCACAGCATGGCTGCTCACGTCATACGTTCTTGCCATTCTCTCTATGCTGGTATACGACCCTTGAGTGCCTTATACACACACACACACACACACACACACACACACACACACACACACCACTAGGGTTGGATCCTAGGGTATCATGATTGTCAGTTAAGCATTCTAGCACCCAGGTACATTCTTATCTCATAGCCTAGGTTTTTGTCACATCCACATCCCTGTACTAATATTGATTTTGTGTTAGATAGGAATGATATAAAAAAGGTCAGCAAGCATGATTTACATGTAGAAATTATTTCCTTCTAATGGAACAGTTTCCAAGTGAGCAGGCCTGGGCTAATGTTGTATAGTGTTGGGGATCACAGTTTCTTTTATCTCGTTGTTCTGCTCTTTCGGATACAGTGTCATCCCAGACTTAATGGGGCAATATTTTCTCACATTTTAGCTGCAGTCCAGCCAAGAGGAAGGAGAGAGCTAACAGAGGAAGGAAAGTTGCTTTGCTTTTAAACATAGGGCCTAGAATTTTCTCGTATCACTTCTATTCATGCTCTTAGAAAAAGTTTAGCATAGAATTCAGTAGCCATTAGAAAACTGACCATGAGTTGGCCTGGAATAATGGTTTCTATTATCAAACAAGGTGAAAGGGCTACATATTAGGAACTTGTCATCTTTCTGTATTACTGTCCTCATATAGTACTTCCTTCGAGGGTCTGGCAGTTTCTGATTGACTGTGTCCTCAAAACAGACTGGTATTAAATGGTTGGACTGTATGGTTAGCCCTCTGTGGCATCTAAAATTGCATTTATTTATTTTGTATGTGTGTTTGAATGTATGTGTGTGTATATGTACCTCAGTGTGGTGTGCCTGGAGTGGTCAGTGGCCAACAAGCAGGGGACAAGTTCTTTCCTTCTTCTATGTTGGTCCTAGGAATCAAACTCAGGTGGCTAGGGTTGGTGACAAATGCCTTTCCTTGCTGAGCTATCTCGCTGGTCCCTGCTTAGCCTGCTCTACCCATAGGCTCTGTGTCCATGGATTGAAACCATCATGCATGAAAGATATTCAGGAAAAACATCCATCTGCATGTAAATATTTCTTTTTCCTCATCAGTGCTCCCCCAACAATACTGAAGTGTGACTACTTAACCAGCATTTGCACTACAGCAGGTATTAGAAGCACTCTAGAGATGATTAAAGTCCATAAGAAAGTGCTATATACAACTGAATTTGAACATCTACATATTTAAGTATCTAATGTGGTTCCTGAAACCCACACCCCAAGGGTGGCTGTTATTTGTAACCTATAGACAAAGTGGTAACATGGTGCTGGAGGCAGAATTAGAAAATACGACTAGAATAAACCCTCAAACCCCAGTCATTTAGTTGCCAAATGGAATTTTCCTTAATTCCATTAATTATGTTGCCATTTTGTTGTGACACAGTTGGGTTTCTAGAAGGCTTGGCAGCATTGCACACTGAACAGTTGAACACTAAGTGTAGAAACTTCAGGCCCATCATTGCTAAATCCTACTTTGATAATGTACTGAGAAGATAATCATAAAGTTATTTAGATGGTAACCCACTACCAACAGACAACCCCTGCAAGTTTTCTATAAAGCATATCATGTATAAACTTGTATGTTGGGGCATTGTTTTCTTTTTATTGTTTTGTTTTTGTTTTCAAGACAGGGTTTCTCTATGTAGCTGTGGCTGTCCTGGAACTCACCTATAGACCAGGCTGGTCCCCTACTCACAGAAATCCTCCTGCCTCTGCCTCCTGAGTGCTGCCCATTTTAGGACATTGTTTTCTTACATTAACTCCTCTATCTTTATTTCACTATTAGCTCAGATATTTGGGGCAATATGTGACCTATAATATGTAATCCTATTATCTTCTTAATTACTCTACTTAATTAAAGTGTTTGAATGCTTGGTCCATAGGGAGTGGCACTCCATAGAAGGCCTTTTTGGAAGAAATACATCACTGTGGGGGCAGGCTTTGAGGTCTCACATATGCTCAAGCCGTGCTCAGTGTGGCAGTCTCTTTCTGTTGCCTGTAGATCAAGATGTAGAGCTCTCAGCTCCTTCTCTGGCACCATATTTGTCTGTACTCCACCATGCTTCCCACCATGATGACAATGAACTAACCCTCTGAACTGTAAGCAGTCCCAATGAAATCTTTTCCTTGATAAGAGTCAAGGCATCATGGTCATGGTGCCTCTTCCCAATAGAAACCTTAAGACGGTGAGACTAAGCATCTGAAACATCAAGCTAAAACAGCGTGTTTTCCCCTCAGTTTTCACCACTTTGTTATAGTGGCATTAAGAAGCAAGTGGCATTAAGAAACGGCCATCTTTCCAATGTTAGGTCATTCTATATAGAAGCAGGGGATTTTCTCCTATTTCCATACACTATGTCCCTTGGTGACATCTATACGTGTCCTCCTCTAGGTCACACTCACTTGTTCAGTTGTGGATGAACTTTACTCTTTCAAGCACTTCTTCCTCATTTGGACTATGGCTTTAAAACTCTACCAAAAATGCCACTGAAATTTCTACAGTGATGTTTAAGAATTACAGCGATTTAGGCTCTTGCTGTTTCTAGCCTCATCCTTGGTTATATTCAGCAATATGTCTGCCAGACTGGCCTATTAAAGATTGCTCATGATAATTTTGCTCATTACTAGAGTTTATCTGCTGAAAAGTTGTTGATGAAAAAGTGCAGGATAACACACTAAGTATCAATCGCTCTGGCAAAGAGTACTTTGTTAGAGAGTGCATCATAAGATATTTCTCCTTTATCTCAATTAACATCTACAGAGGCAATTTGAATTTGCTCAAGTTTAACAAATTCTTTGCATGAATGATTATTACTTATATCTGGCAACTCTGCCATGATCTTTATGAGATTTCTTTTTTCCCCTTCCTCATTCTCTGACTGCAGATATCTTTCTGGGGTTATCCAAACACTCACTGGATTCTGCATATGGCTTCTTCTCAGAGCCAGTAGGTTCAGCGGCTTTTACATCGCTGGCTTTCCAAGTCTTTAGTTTTCTCCATTTTTCCACGATGTCTCATTATTCACTAGACCCTCAATGAGTACTTACTGAATAAATGAAGGACTATTGGCAATAAATCCGTATGTGTTGCTAAATGTACTAGTGTTATTGATAAGTTGAAGGGGGCTTTGTGGGAAGATATTTTGGAGATAAGGCAGTATACACGTTCTTTCCTATGTTAAGTGTACCAGTGTTATTGATAAGTTGAAGGGGGCTTTGTGGGAAGATATTTTGGAGATAAGGCAGTATACACATTCTTTCCTATGTAATGTTGCTTTGTGTTTTCCACTGAACAATTAATAAGGTGAAAATACCGTATAAACTTGGTAAGTGGTACAGCTAAATTTTAGAGATCACACTAATGGAGATTTAGAAGCTAATCTGCAATGCCGAAGACACCATTATCCATCATAGACATCTGCACAGTAGCTAGGGCACTGCAATATGAATCCTTAGGTGGAAGTATGAACGACGAGTTTTGATGTTTTCACCTTTGGGATAAATCTAGATGAAGTCTGTTATCAAATGAATATGAAATAATTTCTTTGAATTGGTTTCCATCTTTAATATCCAGCTTGTTTGGTATCATTGATACTTATTGGAAATTATAATTTAGAAAATTACCATTAATACTGAAAAAAAAAAACCCTACCCACTGCAAGAGACAAGCATCAAGAAGTACCTCCCACTGCGTATGATGGAGCACACCTCTAGACTCAGGACTCAGGAGGCAGAGGCAGGCAGACCTCTGTGAGTTTGAAGCTAGTCTGGTATATGCAGTTAGACCCTATCTCAGAAAACAAGTGAATAGAAAAGAAAAGGAGGGTAGAAGAGACTTACTGTTGCATTGAGAGACACTAATATACTTAGGGTTCTTCATTATTTCAACTCCTATGTTGGACCTTTAAAAAACAAAACAATAAATTAGCCTGTCATCTGTCATAGAACGCAGGCAACATGAATCACCTGCTTGTCAGGGAGCAAGGGTCCATTTTAGACTTCTGATAATATGACTACCAACTCTTATTTAAAAGTAGGATTTGGGAAGACTTTGTACCTATTGAGGGTACCTGGAATCCAAGGCATTGGACTCATTTGCCACATGCAGCCAACGTATGTCTAGAAGCTTTAGATTTTTAAAATAACTGTGAAATCTGCATTTAAAAATTGCTTCCACATCATCTACTCGGGTTTATATAGTCTTATCATTAGATCACAATGAGCCTCCTTGTGTCAGTTTAAGACCACCTAAATTTCTCAGTACAACAGATGCAGCGTTCTCTCCCAGCAGGTACATACCAGCTATCATTTAAAGTCATTCACTCTCCCATCATTTACCTAGGAGTCTAGACCCCTTATGGTAGCACATAGACCTCCCACCACAGGGTCAGCTTCTCTTTTTAGTCACTTCTTCTGCTATTTCACTTTCAACTTTTTTTTTCAAGACAGGGTTTCTCTGTGACTTTGGAGGCTGTCTTGGAACTAGCTCTTGTAGACCAGGCTGGTCTCTAACTCATAGAGATCCACCTGCCTCTGCCTCCTGAGTGCTGGGACCAAAGGCGCGCGCCACCACCACCCAGCTTAACTTTTTTTTTTAACCCAGAAGACTTGTTTTATGAAGAGTGAAAGTTATTGAAGGATGATAGGCCATCTGTTGGGCTGCTCTGTCTCCTTGATACCTATCTCAATGATTGGTAGAGAATAGAGTTCAGTTTGGTGCATTAATTAATGCCTGCTGTGGACGTAGTGTAGGCAGGGGGTAGGAAGAGACTGGGTGAGTTGCATATTCAGAAATAAAAGGGAAGGAATAGAAACCCAGCTGTGCTCTTACTCACTCAGAAGGGGTGGGGTGGGAGTGGGGGGCTGCACAGCAGGAGCCCAAACTAGGATTCTCAGACAAGATTCCTCAGTATGTTAGTGTTCCACATTTGGTATTTACTCTTACTTTCACCATTCATTTGTGGTTGAGAAGTGAGAAGTTAAGGAGGAAAAAAAATTCTAAACCTGACTTTGAAAACTACTAAGAAAGGAGAAGCTGAGAAACCAGAATTTTACTGTGTTACACAGTAAAGGAAAAAGAAATGTGTGAGTGTGTGTGTGTGTGTGTGTGTGTGTGTGTGTGTGTGAGTGAGTGAGTGAGAGAGAGAGAGAGAGAGAGAGAGAGAGAGAGAGAGAGAGATGGAGGGGGAGGGAGGCTGTGTGGGGATGCTGTGGATTTTGTCTGAATGTAAACAGAAAAGGATTCCAGCTAAAAGGGGATCTCAGAGCTTGGCTCACAACTCTGAGGTGTGTGGTGACAGTTAGTTTTGCAAATCTTTTTATTTATTTTTTTAAGTTTTGCAAATCTTCAATGTAGCCCATGAAGAAACCACAATGGTTTGTTTTCAGCAGTGAGGCATTTCTCACCTCCTTGGAGATCAAGGAAATCAGGAAGCTAAGTGTCTGTCTGTAAGGAGAGGGAGAAAGGTGTGGCCACAGCCATGACTGACAGGAAGAGGCATGCTGACAAATAGGTTTGCAGAGCCTGTTCTGCTGAGGGATTGCAGGAATTGCTAGGCCACAACCTGGGGGAGGATGGAGGACTCTTCTACCCCAAAATATGCACATGGTCACATCTTCTTAGGAGATGAACTAACGACTGGTGGGAGATGACTTCTTATCACATTGCCCAGGCTGCGGTACAGAGAGCAGAGCAGAGCTTGGTGGCTGTAGCACTACACACCTGGCCTATTCTAAGGCTTTGACTATGTTAAATAAATGAGTAAAACATGCTCTGGTATGCAGAGGGAAAGAGGGAGGGAGGGAAGGAGAGACTGAGAAAGCATCAGAGTAGAATATGACAGGCAAGACAAGAGTCCCACCAGCTAGCTGTCACAGTAGTCAAGGCGAGATGAGTCTGAACTGGCATAGTAACACAAGACATGGAGATAGTGGATGAACAAAAGATTTTAAGAGGCAAACTGTACGAGGTGTGATGGAGGTGGAGGATCATGACACCATTGGGGGATCTTTTTGGGAGAGAAGGTGAGACATCTATGAGCCATAGCAGAACAGTTGCCTATGGAAGGTATTTTGCAAAACCTAGATCAATAGTAAAATAATCTGATTGAACAGGTCAGCACTGGCTGTCAGGAAGAAGCAGAGGTATAGATTTTACTTGGTTCCCTTTTATTGGGCAGCCCCTTTTATTGGGTGTATCAATAGGAATGTAAGCTGTGACATGAACAGGGGCCCAGTAAAGACAACATAGGTCTTACCGGAAGCTGGAGTGGTGGAAACATCTGAGGTCTTGCTCAGTATTGAGATGGGCAGTGTAGCTCTGCCTGGGGGGAACCTCTCATTGTACTGAGAATATACTCACTTCTGGAAAAGAACTTTTTCTTTGTCAGTAAGAAAAGAAACAGCTTGCTGCTTGGTACACACATGGGTCAGGGCCTCACAGGGCATGTGTTGAGGCTTCATACAGTAGAAGACTTCTTCACCACCACTGTACAGGTATTTGCAGAGTTCATTGCTTGAGTTTAGAGTCAGGCCACATTCAGCTAATACCTGGGAGGTGCCATTAACAAATTTACCCTTGAAGGCAATTCTATCATAGCCTTGGTTCCTTGCTCTCCAGAGAGCTGACACCCCTTCACTGGGATGGATGAGTAGGATAGACAGGGCCACCTGACCTTCCCAGAACAGAGTGAAACTGACAAGGTAGGTGCCGTTGTTGAAATCTGTCACCTTTCCAGAAGCACCAGCCTTCAGGGCTGGGGAGGACATCCTGGCCCTCAGGAAGTCCCCACCATACTCCTTCTTGTTTCTTAGGTAGTCCCTCGCTTCTATTAGGATGTCCAGCTGGTCCCCTTTACAGTATTTGCCTCGAGGGTTGAGGATGGTGGCTCTGCTCTCTTTGGCGCTGGTGGTGGTGTTGAGGTGGGTGAAGGGTCTGGGTGGGATCTGCTGATTTAGCTTCTCTAGGATCTCCCTGATTCTCAGTTCTTTCTCTGTTGGTGACTTGACCGGTCTTGTCACTTTGGGGATCTCCTCTCTTAGCTTAGTCTCTGTTGGTATCCTTGACTGATTCATTGGCCTTTCAGGACAAGAGGACTTCATGGAGGTGTTCCAGGAGTGGAAGGAGATGGATGAGCTCAGAGCCATCCAAAGCTGAAATGACAATATGTGCACTATAAAAACAAATCTGCTCCCAGCCATTTTTATTCACAATGAGTTAGAATTTTGCAGAAACTTATTAACTCTAAAATAAGAGCTTGGAGAGTGAGAAGTTGATGAAAGCGAGTATGCTCTTCCCTGTCCTATACATCTTGCAGCCAGTAACTACTTTCCCACTGGACAGATGGCTGAATGTTTCTGCTGGTTAGTTCAATTATTGCTAATGCGCATAATGAGGAAAACTGTCCAATTGGTTTTCCGATACATTTTAGTCTAAAACTTGACTAGGACAATGCAGGGAAGGTGAAGGCTTTTCCTACTCATGAACATGCATTTTAAATCCAAAATGTTTATATATATGCATATATATACACACATAAAGTTTATATATATTGCATGTTTATATAAGCATACATAAACATGGATTCTGAAGGGAAAATATCTCAATATAGTTTATATTTTAATGGATTAAAGACAAAAATCCTCATTGTGTCCTAACTTATCTGGCTGGCATTATAGTTGTCAATTTGTTTGTTTGTTATATTGTTTTGTTATATTGTTCATTCTGGCCTCAAACTCACATTCCTCCTGTTTCTGTCTCCTGGTTGATGGGATTACACATATCTGATATTTAAATAAAGGAATGTCACAAGGAAAAACACGACAAAACATGACTGAATTCCTGTATAAACTTCCAGTGGTAAACCTTTTCTAATTATCACTTAATATCCAAAGCTGTAAGGCCTACTGGTTATTAAAAATAACCATCTCATGGAAAAAGGTAGCAGCAGACTGGATTCAGATAGCCAAGGATATACACCCGGATTCAATGACAAATACTTATTTAGTGGCTTAACAAGAGCCATTTAGGGTGCCTGTGAGAGGTACCAGACTGACTAGAAGGGCCTGAGGGTGAAAGGGAAGTGAGAAAGTAGTGACAGTCAGTGAGGAGACAGCTCACACAGGTAGCAGCTTCCAGTCAAAGTGGAAAAATGCATTCCTACCTTTGTGGAACTTTCAGAAATTTCAAAAATTATCCAGGTAATTATTAAAAGCGACATTAACATTAGCAGCAATTTCTGACACAGAATATTTGAGAACATGGTCAGTATCCTAGGAAAGAGCACAAGAGAAGGCACCAAGATGAGGAGGGAGTCAAGCCCTTTGTCTACCCTGTTGACCATCTTTCACTCAGGCTTTGTTTTGAAGGGTCTCCTCCTCAGCCCTGGAATGGAAGTCAGATGCCTCCATGTATGCTCTCTCTTTGTTCATTTCCTATAGAAACAGCACACTTTCACCCACCACCGTCTCCATGAGAAGCAGAAATGTTAACTAGTCAGCAGGTTCTTTGGGGTGTGGACAGAAGCTAACTGATGGTTCCCTGAGAATGTGCTTATGTTACAAAAGTAATCTATAAGATACCTTTAAACAGAGCTGGTCCTGTAGTGACTCTTGTTTTGTTGAGCACCAAGTATGAGTCTTGAAGTGGGAATTCTTTGGGGGGAGGAGTCTAAATTACTCTGCATTGAAGACAAATTCAGCAAGGTTAAGCACTGCTCGAGGAAAGGAGAGAGGTGGCAGGAGGAGGTTTTGAGGAGGACTGAAGCAGGGGAACTGACAGTAGCCGCTGCCTGCTCCTCCCAACCATGCCCATTTCAAAGTGTTCTTGGAGAACAGAAACAATGCTCACCAGACGCAATGCACACAGACCCCCTGTCTGTCTTTTATTACAACTTTTTTTTGGCTGTCTGAAAAGCTTTTGGATGGGTGCATTAACTTTATAGGTTCTATTTGCATCTTATTGATACAGAAAAAAACCAGGTAATACATAGAAATCCAAACATAATTGACCTGGAAGAAATGAATATATTCTAATGAGACACTTTAGCAAGCTGGGCGGTGGTGGCACACGCCTTTAATCCCAGCACGCTGGAGGCAGAGGCAGGTGGATTTCTGTGAGTCTGAGGCCAGCCTGGTCTACAGAGTGAATTCCAGCATAGGCTCCAAAAGCTATGGAGAAACCCTGTCTTGAATGCCCCCCCAAGAGACACTTTAGCTATCAGACTACTAAAACAACAGACCCCAAGAAATTGGAATTTCCCTAATAATCTCATGCCATGAGAAGAGAAGCCTGTGGCAGCAGGAGCAGAGGACTCTTCTCTCTAAGAAAGACACCTATAGCCTCACTGGGACAAGGATGGGTCAGCGGTGGGCAGGGACATACCTTGACTGGGATTGCTTAGATATGCATATCCATAGCATTCCATGTAAACTTTAGTGCCCTTGGTCCTTGAAGATAGAGTTCAGGGCAGTCACTGGATGTCTCTGCCCCTCTTTTCAGCATCTCTGCACCAAATCCATCTCCCTTGATGCTTATTGCTATTCATTTGGCTGTTCTTATTGATTTCTCAAGGATGGGTGGCTTCTTGGGGTACAGGATGTGACTTCAGTAACAGTCTAGAGATGAAAGTCATGTTAGAGCTAGCTAACTCTTTTAAGCAAGATACGATGGCCAGTTGCAGCACATACTAAACCACTGTCTAATGATCCACCTGTGACTTGCCAATTATGGAAGCGTGGTGCTTGGGGGAACTTCTAGAAGGATTGAACTCTGTGTCTGGATGGTGTGATGAGGAAATGAATCTGTGTCACTCATTATTCTGTACATTCGTTATTCAATTACTTCTTGAAAACCAGAACCTGTCAAATAAGGCAATGGAATTATGTCTGTTTCCGCATTGTATGCTTTGTACTCATTCATTGTGTCACTGGCAAGCATAATGCTCGAGTAATAAAAAAAAAAATATAATCCAGCTATTCAGACCAACTTTCACATCTACCCACTCAGATTCCGTGCTTTCTAAGAGTGTACAAGGGCATTTTTTTTGTTTTGTTTTTTTTGGTTTTTTTTTTTTTTATGAGACAGGGTTTCTCTGTATTGTTTCGGAGGCTATCGGTCCAGCCCGGCCTCGAACTCACAGAGATCCGCCTGCCTCTGCCTTCCGAGTGCTGGGATTAAAGGCGTGTGCCACCACCGCCCAGCAACAAGGGCATTTTTACTAAGGCAACTTGTCAATCAAAAGACCCTCACCCTAAGGCTCACCCACTTTTTCTAACTTTTAGGTGAATCTTATGATGCATGAGTTACTATATCTGCTCTGACCTGTGTGCTCGTCTACCTAGAAAGCAGTATACACAGGCTGAATTTTATCAATCCTGAAAAAAAATCATTGCAATTTTGAGTCTCTTATATTTCTAACCGGTGTTTCATTAAATTTATGCCTATTTTGTTATTTGTGAATGTAGAAATATGAAACACTTATTCCATATGTGTCTGGAAGATGAAGCAGATCAGCAAGGTGAATGAAGTAACTGTTTATGAACATTAGATTACAGGAGTAGAAACACCACATTCATGTCGACCTTTGAATATGTTCCATGTTTCTCCATCATTGTCCATGCCCTCTTGCCTCTATCACTCCTGGATGGACACCCTTCCAGTACCCACCATGCCCTATGGCAAATCTGGAAAACTTCTTTTGTTTACTCTTGAGCATAAACACTGGGTTTTCTTTCCTCTGAGCTCCCCTAGTCTAATATACATACTTTGTCACAATACATGCCACTGGATGCCTATCTCCCTCTGTGCCATTCCCCCATTACATCGATGCTCATTCTAGAGCAGATCCCTCACGTAAGAGAAGTAACTGCAGACCACGCTTCTTTGGAGGCTTACAGCTGGGTGATCTCACTTGTTCCTACAAGGATGCCTCTCTAGCTCCTACACCTCGGGTTGAGCTCTGCCTATCTGAAAGTCCTCAGGCTTTCGGAAATGCTCAAGGGCAGAGGTGTGCTAAACCTGCCTCTTACTAGCCAATAAGCAACACTGTACACAGTTCTTCTTAGCTGAAACTGGCCACAGTGGATACATTTACATCATAGAAATAAGCAAAAGCTGAAAAGTGTTGCCTCTGGGAGAGCAGCTCTGAGTTTACCCTGCTCATAGGAATCATTAAGGTCAGCTGCTCAATTAGCCAATTCTCTGTTGTCACTGCCTGCCAAGTTCCTCTCTCCTTCCTTGTGAATGATGTCACCTACCAGAAACACAGACTTTCTTCTTGACTCTGCATCTAGAATCCAGCCCTCCTCAGTCACTATGGCACCCATGTGTGGACTGGAGATGTTGTCCCTCCTATCACCGGAGATGCAAACTTGGGTCTGGGCTTGTGGTATCCCAGTTACACTACACTTCTTGACCTCTAGGGTGTTTGGGCACAGTCATAATATTCATTCTCTGAAGTGAGCATAAGGGTGACATGGTTTGCCTCTGCCAGTCTCTTTCTTGTTTTAATCTATGACTCACTAGCTTCATCAGCAGCCTTGTTTTGATCATATAATAATCATATAATGAGAATACCCTGAAGCATGACGGTCCTAAGGCTTATTTATCCTGAAACAGGGCCCTCTTTGGTTGTCTAATGGAGCCTAGGTACCTCTTTTCTAAGTGACATTTTCAAACATATAAAGTGAAATATAGAGAATTATAGCCAAACTCAATTATACTGAAGTACAGTAATTAACATTTTAAACAGCCTAGCTTCTTATTTAGTCATATATCAGTTTTTCATCAGCATACCAAATGGCAATCAAGCAGCTATTATATTTATAATAATTTTGAAGCAGTTACAAGTGTAAGTGGCATTTCAAGACTTTTTTATTTTACTTTAAAAAATTATCTATGTACATAGGTGTTTTGCCACATGTATGTCAGTGTTCCATATGTTTTCAGGACTGGTCCAATAGCAAGTTTCATAATTATTCAACTCACTAATTCAGCTATCCTCATCCAGATTAAACAATACCCAATGACCCTGGAAACAAAAAGGAAAATTGCAGTCTATATTGCCTGGCTTGGACAGATGGGCATCCGGATAGCCTGCCAGTCACCATGAAATATACCTCTCCTACCTGTGAAGAAACCTGGGACCTCTAATTCTCCTGAACATGATTCTTTCAGAGAAACAGCTGTACACTGTCTTGGATCCAAAAGTTGCATTCTTCAACCCCCATTGGCCAAGGTGAGTCAACCCATCTTTGATTTGAAATGGACAGACCTAGAGGGGGGTCACAGCAGGTTTTATACCTGGATCAAATTGCCTCAAGGATTTAAAAATTCTCCAACCTTGTATGATGAGACACTAAATGCTAACTTTGTGCCCTTCCATCAGAGGTTTTCCAGGACTGTACTCCTACACTATGTAGATGACATTCTCTTAACCTCCAAAACTAAAGTAGCTTTTAAGAAGGCCAATGAGGGACTGCTGCAAGAATTACCTTGAGGATATTGGTGTAGACAGCCCAGGCCAACTTTGTACATCAGAGGCTACCAGCTGAGGGGAGGCAGAAGGAGTCTGTCTTGGTGTAGGATTGCTGCCATCCTTCAGGTCCCAACTCTGAAGAGACAGACTAAAGAGTTCCTAGGTGTGCCGAGGCATTGCAGTCTCTGGATGTCAGAGTTCACAGAAACAGGTCTCTATACCAGCAGAGGTGTATGTGTGTGGGCACACTGAACCCCTAATCTAGATTGAGACTAAACTTGAAAGGCATTTGAGGTTTTAAAAGCAAGTCTAATTTGGCTTCAGCATTAGCACTTCCAGATGCCTCAAAACTTTTCATCCAACAAAACAAAAAACAAAAAGGGTTTTAATGCAAACTTTGGGGTCATGGACATACACTGTGGCATGCCTGTTCAAATGACCGGACCCTGTAGTCCTGCTTGCCTAAGAGCTGCGGTGGCTACTGCTAGTTTAATGAAAAAACAAACAAACAAAGAAACAAACGGACAGGTTAACTCTGGGTCAGGATCCTATACTTACAGCTCTTCATGCTGTTACACTTACACCTCAGGATCTTATCCTTACAGCACCTCCTCAGAGGCTCTCCTCTGAGGAGCCCCAGAATTTTGGCTGTATGTGAGTGACCCAGTGTCAGGCTCCACTTTTGGATCATTCTCGAGTCCAGTTTGAGAAACCCACCACTGTCAATTCTGTTGCCTTCTGGCCTGATGATGACTCGCATGACCGTCACAAGATGAAAGACAAAACCAAGTATGTGGGAGCTGCAGTGTATACCCCAAATCCTGAAAGGACTTGAGACTAGGCCAGGTACTAGGCCAGGATTGGTCACCCTGACCCAGGCTCTTAGCTGAGGATCAGAAAAGTCCACCATCGTATACACTGACAGTTTCTATGTGTTTAGAAACTATCGTGTGCATGTCCATAGTATGATCTGTAGGGAAAGAGGGCTTCTCACCACCGGGGGAAAGAACATCAAAAACAAAGAGAAAATCTTGGCCCTCTTAGAGGATATTTGGCTTCTGCTGTGAATTGCTATCTTCCACTGCTGTGCACATCACAAAGGTGACTCCCCTGAAGCAAAAGTCACTGACCTGGCTGTCTGACCATGGCCCGAAGACCAGTGGGGCCTATTGATAGTCTGAGGACACATCCTGACCAGGTGTTGCCTGAGACTCCACAGTACAAACAAGAGGAAATAGAGGATGAAAAAAGGGGGCAGCTCAAACCCACAAATTGATGGAGGGCACCAAGGGAAAGATCATTCTTCCAGAAATAATTGGCAGGACTCCGGTAACTGACCTTCACCAGGATACCCATCTGGGATCCACAAAACTTTCCGAGTTTCTCAGACCAAGGTATGTTAGACCTAGACTAGACAGCCTAGTGTGGGATATCCAAAACAGAGAACCTCTATCTAGAAAGGGGTTCATATGAGAGGTCAACACCCTGGTGAACTCTGGGAAACTGACTTCCCTGAGATCCTGCCTGCCAGGGGAAGTTCTTGTTGGTTTTTGTAGATACCATCTCTGATGGGTAGAAGCATTCCCCACCCAGTAGCTTAAAAGTTCCTCCAAGAACTGGTCCCCTGAATTGTATGCCTCCCCCCCAACCTTATCAATGGGGTCCAACAATGGCATGGCTTTCATCGCCAAAACCTCTCAATTAGTAGCTAAAACTTTAGACATAGCTTGAAAACTTTATTGTGCATTGAACAGATAGAAAGAATGTATTGAAACAAACTCTATTGAAACTCATTAGAGTCTGATGAATGGTGGGATAGACCTCCTCCCCTTTGCTGCACCCTGAATAGGGAGGGATTTACCACCCACTATGAGATTCTGTTTGGAAGATCTCCCCCACTGCTTCTCAAGCTCATAAACCAGAAGTTGGTAGACTCTCCAGTTCCCCATAAAGGCTATTCATTGGACTAGCTGAGAGAATCATCTGAACCTCTGAATCTACAACTGGTTTGCTCTTTTAGTGACACTGTCTGGGTCAAGCAGGTAGCCAAAGTGGTGCTGGAACCAACTTGGAAAGGACCCTACGTAGTAATGTTCTTCACTCCTACAGTCATGCAGGTAACTGGGATCACAACATGGATCCACCACTCCCAAGTCAATAAAGCAGAAGCTATAGCACTACTGCCGAATGAACTGTATCTGGATTATGGACCCATTAAAAGTAATGTTTCACGGGGCCCTAGGCCCTTATGCCTCCTCCTGAGTCTGATGCTTTGGCCAATGAATATGAATATAGGCTCATGGTTCAAACTCCACCACTCTCAGGCCTGGACCTTGGAAGTGAGGAAGGCAGATATAAGGGAAATGATAGTGTAACCACAGACCAACAACCCACATTCCATCTTGACCTTTGCTCATTGATTTCCACTTTAAATATCTGGTTGTACTGGAAAAAGGAAAGATATGAGAACTGATCTTTTCAGACAAAAATACAGAGCTTGCAATTATCTGCATGCCCTGCAGCTGGCCCTCCTAGTTGCCAAGAACATGGGGATTTCCATTGCAAAAACTGGGATTGTGAAACCAGGCTTCCTGGAAAATTCCTTTAAAAAATTATGGCCTTTTAGAAACAGGAAATCCTGAGGAATCAGACTCTATGGCACAAGCATGGAGCCTAGGGGTAGACATAAACTGCTCATAAGGGTTCCCAGACCTTTGGGTCCTACCCATGCCAAGGCTTCAAACAACTCTCTCCTCCAAAGTACTTAACTACCTCCTGATGTCCTTGTGGCCAAGGGATCCCCATTCCTGTTTTTTACTCTTGACAAAGTCCACCACTTAGTTAATCATTTTCAGCCAAAAATTGGCCAAGATTGCTGGTTATGCTTAACTCCTCAGCCCCCATACAACATAGGGATAGGAACTAACCAGACTGTCAGCCCATTGACTGACAAAACTCACTGTGACTAGGGGCAGCCCAAATTAATGTTAGGAGACTTACAAGGGCCTGGTACTCATCTAATGTCCAAAACCGTTACTCTAGGCACTTCCTCTTATTCTAATGCCTGCTATTCTGCCTTGTGGGTTAGCTCATCTTGGCAATAGCAATATCTTGGCCTCTGAGACTACTTGATGGGTGTGTACTAAAGGGCTGACTAAATATGCCTCTTCTGATGCTTTCCAAACTGAGAAATGCCTTCTATGCATCTTAGTACACATTCGGTCCTAGGTATACCTATATAATGGGAAGGGGGGTACATTTTAATATGGATCCTGGACTATTAAAAAAAAGAGCTGTGCCTGTCCTCATTTCATTCCTAGTTGGAGCCAGCATAGCAGTCTCAACAGCCATAGATCATGGGAGATACAAATTTACAAAACTAAGTAGAAAGGCTGATCAGGACCTAGAGGTATAGTGAGTTTCTATTTCTGAATTAGAACAACAGTTAGATTCCCTTGCAGAAGTGGTCCCACAAAAGAAGTGAACTCACAAAATTGGAGAGACTTAGACTTACTTCTCATGAGATAAGGGAAATTATGGCTTTGGGAGAAACCTGTTGTTTCTATGTTAACTGATCAAGAGTAATTAGAAAAAAACATTGCCGTGATTGGAAAAAACTCAAAAAGAGAAACAAAGACATACATCAGATAATTGGTACTAGTCTCTATTCTTTTGTTCCTCCTAACTAACTACTCTGATTGAATTAACGCTGATTCTTGTATCTTACAAACTATGTATCAACTCAGTAAAATTAATAACCTGTGGTATTTTGAATGTAATTGGTCCCCATAATCTCATAGGGAGTGGCACTATTAGGAGGACTGGCCTTGTTGGAATAGGTGTGGTTTTGTTGAAGGAAGTGTGTCTCTATGGGGATGGGCCTTGAGGTCTCTTTTGCTCCAGCTTCACTCAATGTGACACTCAATTGACTTCCTGTTGCCTGCAAGATGTAGGACTCTCAGTTACTACTCCAGCACCATGTCTGTCTGCATGCCTCCATGTTCCCTGCCATGATGATAATGGACTGAATCTCAGAAACTGTAAGCAAGCCACCCCAATGACATGTTTTCCTTGTAAGAGTTTCCATGGTCATGGTGTCTTGTCAAAATAATAGAAGCCATAACTAAGACATCCAACTATTTGAATCCACAATTTGACTCATTCACTAAGACCAGTGGGGAGTGTAACAGGGCTGCAGATGTTAGCACAACTGACTCCATGATGGAAGTGCCATTCAGGCTGTAAAACTCAGCATGTAGATAGCACCACCAGCCAAAACAAAAACAAAGGCCTAATCCATCAAAGTCCACAGTTCTAGGAAAGTCTCTAAGTGTACTAACCTTGCTTTTTGGCTTCTATAGTTCTGCTTCTGGATAACTGTTCTTGTTAATTGAAGTATGTCAGTCCAGGACTTTGTGTGTGTGTGTGTGTGTGTGTGTGTGTGTGTGTGTGTGCTTAAAAGCTCACTTGAGAAGGGCTCAGTGCTACACTGGGATCTTGAACATCCAGTATAGTCATTGGTCAGCTAATAAAGACTTTCTATTGGCTTAAACCCATGTCTGAGCAGCAGTTTTCTCTGCTGACTACCACACAACATTTCTGGAGATACCACTGAGGTCCCAGAGCCCAGACCTCAAGACCCTGGTGTTGGAAGGACCTGCCTATCAGAGCTTGCAGTCTGCCATAGCCTGGCAGTTTTCTCTAAGGCTGGCAACTTCGAGGACTCCCTCCCCTCAGTGAAAGTTTCCTGATCTCTACCC